GATTTCGATTAATACCTCACTTTTAATTAGCTATGACAAAACCAACTTAAAGTGAATTGTAAAGTCGTTCAGGAGTCATGCAGACGCAATCGGGAGTTGGTTTTCTTTACAAGTTTCTATTAAATATCCTCATAAAAAAATTACTTTCAATACACTTTTTTTTCTGAACTTCGCAGATTCTTTTTCATATTCAGGACAAATAAAAGGAAGATCGAAATTTTATACTATCATTTTGAAGTTATGTCTGACGGTGTTCGAATATGGGGCCACCCAGAGCAGAATATGTAAACAAATATGAAATGTAATAAAATAAAGTAAATAAATAAGTAAATAATAAAGTAAAAAAACAAAAAAATATTTTGTTTTTCTTATTGATATTTTATGTCCAAAAGTAGTTAGTTACAAGTTAGTTGACATGTAATGCAGAGGTATGCAGGTCTGACTTTTTTGCGGCCATCGCCCCACAAAAGTAGTTAGCTTTTTTCGAACAAAATACACAGTTAATAGTTAGCACTAGTGTTCGCGTAAACAGACTTAAGTTAGGTATAAGCTAACCTCACTCCCTGCAGGGAAGTGTCTTTGCGCACTCAGCTACGGCACAACATGTAAGTGTGGTTTCAAATGCTTGCTTTAAATCAAGCCAAATTGCGCGACTGGCACATTTGTTCAAATTTGTTTTTGCTATTTACAGAGTGGCGTTATTTGGAAATTTTTTATTGGGCTGAACTCATTCTCTATAAAAATTCTAGACAACACCATTCTGTGATCGGTCGTACAAACTTTTCACAAGCTAGAGTGGCGTTGTTTAAAATTTTATTATTGGGCCGAACTGATTCTTGATGATAAACTCGCTATATATCAGTCGTTTGCGTATCGATCGATTTGAAATTTTCATACAATAAATAACAAACTATTCCAAAGAATCTAAGTTTAACACCACTTCTTAATACTTAGTACAAATAAAACTACAGGTTTATAACTTTTTTTTTGAGTACTAGGAGGGTGTTTGTTTTCAAATTCAAAAGTTGTGTTATAAAGTTAAAAAAAATTGTTTTAAAACAGTATTGTAGATGACTATCTATCTGTTGATGACTATCTGTCCACATACAACTTTGGCGTTGCATTGGCGTTGGCGTCGCTTCAACAGCTGACTACGAATACATGAATTCAAATGCAGCAATCCACATAGCCAAAATTCGGCAACACTAACTATACTATATGTGAGCAAACAACATTGTGCTTGCATAGTCTTCTGTTCTCTTTCACAGCAAGTTGAATTATTTTAATATCTATTGCAAAATTTTGTACAGACAAGACTAAAAAGTATAAAATAAATAATATAAAAAAACTTTTTAATATACAACGCTTTTATTTATAAATGGACTTAAAAGTAGAAAATAATATTTCTCAGTCC